CAAAAAAGTAAGCAACTCTTTTCATCACACAATGAAACAAGTTATTCAATAGCAACAATCTCAATGATTAATATTGTGACTTTTGAACATCACAAAAATGGATCAAAAATGAGAATTGAAAATAAAGTTGAATTTTGTCAAAATGAAGAGCAAAAAGATTGATTGAAAATTATCAAAATTGTGATGATTGGTTGAAGATAAAGGTTAAAGGTGAAATGAAACATTTCTGATATAATTTTGGTTAATTCTGGTTTCTTTTGGTTATTTAATTTGTTTATTTCATTTATTGCCTGATGTGATTCTTGTTGATAATCAGATGGGAAAAATATGATGAAACAATTGATGTCAGATGAAGAAACCACACCCAAAGGATGGTTTTAAAGTAATGATTATTGAATTGTTTCATGATTATTATGATTGGTTAATAGTTGAATCAAAGTGAATTAAAAGGAATAAAGAAAAAAGTTAAAAAAAATGAAATAAAAGATGAAGATGGCAAATAATATAATGATAATCAGTAGGAGGAGGTAAGCACAATAAATCAACACAAACATTTGAGATGGAACGAGAAAAGAGGGTGAAAAGGTTTTTTTGTGTGTTATTTATGGATAAAAGGTTTGTTAAGGAATGATCAATCTACTGAATCATGATTATGGTGATAACTTGTCAGGTAAAGTATAAAATTGGTTTTAATCAAATTTCATCAATAATCTAAAGTAACCTTTTGTTGTTTAAAGTTGACCAAGGATATCAGATTAAACATTGAATGGAAGGCAAAAAAAGGGTGAACATCAAGACCAAAAAAAGTGTCTGAAATAGAGATGTCCAGATTAACTGTGAACTTGCAATCGTGATTGTTGTTCAATTCATGAATTCCAGTTGAGTTATCACGGAATGAAAGGGGGAGAGAAAAGAGCAAAAACAGAAGAGAAAGGAAAGAAAGAGGAAAACATGTTTATATGTATATATATGTATAAACAGGAAATACAGTCAACTTCACCATGGAGATAAAACTTCAAGTTTCAATTTCCGATTTCATTGTGAATGAGAAGAGAAGAAAAAACGAGGTTAAAAAGAGAAATATTTTTCATCTATAAAAAAAAGATGAATGTGAATAATGGTATTAAACAAGATGGCGATGGGATATTGAGAGTCAATTTAAACATTAAAACTTTTGTAAGATTAAATTTAGTGTCTTGAGTCACATTATTCAAGAATGAACATTCAAGAACATTTTCATATGAAAATATCCTTGAGCTAGATAAATGTGTGACAAGATGTGTGAGAGTAGAGAGAATGACAATCTGAAAAAGTTCAATGAGAAAAGGTGTTCTTTTCACTGGTTATTCAACATTATCATGTAATTAACAATCAATTATAAAATTAACTCAATGTTTTTTTTACTCTAATAATGATAAAGATCAGTAAAAGATGAACAATAATGAAAACAAGATTATTAATGGAACTTTTTTTTTCTTCTTCTTTCAACCTTTTTTTGTTTCATTTATCCTCTTGGCTCAATATTGATGATAACTTTCATCAAACTCTTCCTCTTTTTGCTCGACTCTTTTAGCAGGATTGACCTCGATATAGTCAATTGCATTTGGACTTCAAATTAACAAGCAATCGGATACAATCAGATAGGATTAAGCTTTACCTGTTTTCATGCTTATCATCATTCTCTCTCTCACTTGGTCTCAATGTTTCTTTTGCACTTCTCACATAACCATTTTAACATGAAAAGGTAAGGCAAGAAAATTGTGAAGGAAGCAGGTTTTACCTTTTCTTTTAACATGAAAGGAAAGGTAACAAAAAATATTACAAGAAGTTTTTTTATTAGAAGAGGAAGAAATAGACAAAATGTGAAAAGTAAAATATGAGAGAAGCTGAAATGAATTTCATAAATATCCAGTCAATGTTTTACTTTCCTTGTTTTCATATTTCTCTGAACTTATCTTGCCATTTGAAAAAGGAAACAAAAAATATCTAAAATGGACTAATTCCAAGTAAAAATAGCCGTTTTTACAGCCTTTTAAATAAATATTGACTCAAGTTTAAATGTCATCATCAGATTGTTTTGCATTATAACAAGAAAATTGATAAGAGTTAAAACCAAATCCATTTGATAATCGCGATAACTCGGCTGGGTTAAAATTGATCCATTGAGATACTTGAGTTTAATCACATGCCTAATGCAGGTTCAAACATTTGGTGCAAAGTCAGGAGCCAACGAGTTTATCAATAACATGATTGGTGCAAAAAGCTCAACAATTGTGATACACTTTGTTTCATGGTTAAATTTGATTTTCATGTTGATAAACATTAACTTGAGAGATAAACTAAAGGGATTTATCAGCTTCTAAAAGTTAAGGTTTATGGATTATTTTGCATTATTAAAAGGTGACTAAACTTGCAATTATATATCAATAATCAAAGTTTAAAAGGTAAATTTTACCCTTTACTGTAAAGGTGCGACAATTACAGACAATTTAATTTACCAAAAATGCTTATTAAGATGAACTAAAAGGTTAATAAAGATTGGATTACATGGGAATAAAAAATACTTGATGAGACAATATTTCACACAGTTTTATTGAAGAAAAAAAGAAGAGAAGAAAATATTGATTCTTCTCTTCAACTGTCATCAACATTCTTTCCTATTAAAAGTAAGTTTTCAGGCAAAATAGCAACTCTTTTTGGGTTCACTCTTCTGTCTTGATCTCTCTCTCTGTCTATCTTAACCAACCATTTGCCCTTCAATTGTCAACATACATAAATATATATTAGGTAGACACAGAATGGACCAGCAAAGTTGAAATAAATTTAAGAAAAAAAACAAGTTCTACTTTTTCATCAACCATTTCACTCCCATTTTGATGTATTTTTTGTTTGCTTGTTTGATGATTTAAACAATTTTTCAGCTTCTTCTCTCTTCCCAAATTGTCTTTCATCTCTTTCCTCTTTTCTCTCTCTCTCACTCACTACCCTTAGGGTTATTTATGGTCTTTTATACATTGTTCCGGTCACTCAACAAAATCATATCATTCATTGAAATTGATGTTGTTTTTGTTTTTTGTTCAAACTCAACAAATAGATCATAAGTGAGGACAATAAAATGAACGCAAATTTAATAAGATGATGATGATGTAAAGGGGATGAAAAGAGAGTAAAAGGAAGCATATTAAACTCATTATCAGGTAAAAATGATTGGACTTTCAATCGTGACTACCTTTTTTCATCATCATCAATAGACGGTTCTTGTTATTGTTGTTCATGATGATAATGATGGCGTTACTCGTTTACCTTTTTCATTCTTCATCAAGTTAATGATGATCAGAAGAGAGAGAAAGAAAGAGCAAAAAAAGGTAAAAAAGACTTCATTTCCAGGTCAATGGAAATTAAAGTTGCCAATAAAATGCAAAGCAAAAATACAACTTCATTGCCTTTATAATCAGCATCAGTAAAACAGAGAAGAAGAAGAGAAAAAAATCAACAGGAAAAAAAAGAGAAGCAAACCAATTACATTAAACCTTTTATTATCATTTCTCTTGTCATCCCTCTTATTGTCAAGATTTAGTCTTGAATATAATGATGATGATGTTGATGGTAATCATCAGTTTCTTGGCTCTCACATTCTTTGTCTTAACTTGCAATTAGTAATCAAAATTTCACCTTTGTCAACATGCAGCGACAAATCAACAATTTTTTGCAAACATTCAAACGTTTACATGAAAATTAAAAAAGATTGTGCTTTAGATAAATCACATTTCAATTCATTGAGCAACACAAGAAGGGAGAGCAACAGCAAAAAAAAAGTGAAAACATGAAAACATTTCCCATGGAGGGTGGAAATATAAAGAGCAGAGGGGAAGCAAAAAGGTTCCTAGGAAATTGTAAATATACAATGAAAGAAGGAGAAGAGAGAAAGAGATGAAAAGGAGAGAATCAGCATCTTCTCTCATTCCTCTTGGAGAGTGAAAAAAAAACTCATTACACAGACAAAAACCACCCCCTGAAAGTCCTGACAATGGTGATAAATCAATAAGGCTAAACAAAGAAGAGTAAGTTGAATATGAGGAATCAAGGAACCATCAAATAATATTGCAAATAAACATCAAGATATTTATACATTTGGATGAAGATGGCGTATAAAAAAAAAGGCTGATATCAATTGAAAAGCTTAAAATATTAATAGATCACTTGATAATGTGAGAGACATGATAAAGGCCATGGGCATATATAAATATGCATATTTAGTTGACTGCAAGTCTTTACAATTATCAAGTTATCATCATTGTTTATTCCATCATCTTTGCAGTTTCATAGTTTTCATCATCCTCTTCAACCTCTCCCCTTACCACTGCCTACAGGGTGTGACCTCTACCATTTTTCATGCTTTCATGCGCTTACTTATTTTCCTTTCTTTCTTTCTTTCTTTCTTCTTCTTCTTCTTCTCACTTCTCTTTTTTTTCAATCTTCATATTTTCTTACGTGATTTTAACCAATCTTTTATTTAAGACCTACTCTCACTCACTCTCTTCCCATCTTCATCCCCTCCTTGAATGGCTTCAAACACTTGAGAAATCTTACAAGCTTTACTAATGAGATGGTGTCTCAAATTGCATGGTAAACATATGAATAAAAGAAACATTTCTCATCAATTTTAAGTTTCATTTTCAACTCTTTAACGTTTACTTTTTCTTTCCATCAATTATGTGAAATTGATTAAAGCCAATTGATGCCAACAATTTGATACAATTGTTAGACAATTGACAAAATAAAAGAAAAATATTTGTTAAGATTTTAAATTTTGTTACTTTAAAATCGATACATTTCAGAGTAACTCAATCAGATGATTTCAATTCAATTTGCATTGAGTTGAAAAATGTTCAATTTCAATGTTTAAATATTGCAAATTGTGGGTTGAGATAATTTTTTGTTGGGATATTCACTAATTGTTTTAGTTGATGAAGGTAAATGGCAATTAATTGAAATCTTACTTTTCTTGAAACCAAGATGAGGTATCCTTGTGATGGGTGTATTCCGCTCTTTCATGAACTTGTTCAATTGTTTCATAAATTCTGTCTCACTTTTAAGACATTTTTCAGCCAATTTAGCTGACATTGGTGATGTCGTTGACTTATACTTAGATGTAACATTATTCCTGTTTCCTTGGAAAGCGCAATCAACTTCATGCGATTTAACCTTGTTGGTGGTTGCACTTGTTTTACGTGGTAAACGAACCCGAGATGAATCTTGTTTACTATTTTCCTCTGAAGTATCTGAATCTTGGGATGAACTTGAATGGCTGCTTGTTTTGGCAGCAGAAGCATTCATAGTAACAGAGGAACCACCGCGTTTACGAGGACGGCCTTTCAATTTAGGAGCTAATTGGAAAGACAAAGAAAATGCATTTTTCAAACAAAAACAAAAACATAAACATGAAATCGATCATCAAATTTGTTGCATTATTTGAAGCAAAAATTTTGCTAAAAATAACAATTTTGACATTTGCGTCTTTGAATCTTGAACTATTACAAGTGGGATTACAATAAATGATTAAAATTGTTACCTAAATGTTCACAGTTAAGATCATGATGCAAAAGTCCTTCATGTTCAAATGTTTCCCGGCAAAAGAGTATCCTAATGTTGGGATAAATTTTACATTTATCGGATTCAACAATTGCACTGGTTGATAAAGTTTGATTATTTGATGGTGATGTTGGTAATGAGGTTGGCAATGTTAATGTTGATTTAGTCACTTTACAATTAACTGAAATATTTTCCTTTTCTTTAAAATTTTCTTCCATTTTTTTAAGAACAGCTCGATAACGGCAATATTGTGGATAAGAGAGGACAACAATTGTCGACTGATTTTCTGGTTCTTCATTTGATTGCTGTTCAAGTTGAACTTGGTTCATTTTTACATCATTGTCAATTTCATGGTTAGTTGAATGATGAGGGTTACAGTTATGATAACCCAGAGTAATTTGTTTATTAATCAAATTAAGGAAAGGTAAGGTGAAGGCAGGAGGATCAATTTTATTTGATGAATAAGGCACTTCAAGACCGGTAACCCAATCAACTTCATCGGTTATCCATGAGACCAGGTCATTTAATCTTAAAATTACTGGTTCTGATGCAGCTAATACTTCATGCTGAAGAGTTGGTGGTGAAAATGAGAGAGAGAGAGGGAGAGAGAGAGAAATGTAAAAAAAAGTAAATTAAGGTAATAGGGAAAAGGTTGACACTTACCTGACCATGATTTGATTGTCTTCCATCAGGAGTTTGTTCTGGTAAAAAGTATAACCGAACAGAAGATAACATGGTATCCCTAAATTTATCTTTCCAAATGGAAACAAGTTCACCAATACATGGATCATCATGACGACTAATCCGAACAAAGAAAAATTGATTCACTTTAATCCGTTTTTGCACATTTTTGTTGACTCCATATTTAAAACCAGAATAAAATATGTAACCAGCCTTTTCAAGGGTTGGTTCATCATCGAGAAAGTCAATGGTTAATCCTTTAATTGCGACCATTATTTCAATTTTGATGACTACAAAATTGAACTAACAAATCACACAGGTAGAAAGAGACACTCTTTAATAGACAGAGAGAGATCACGAGACAAATTAAAATGGTGAGAGAGTAAGAGAGAGAGAAAGAGAAACAAAACAAACAAACAAAACTATCTTGAGTTAAACATTTACCACTCTTAACCAGCAAAAATAAAGTGTTCACGTTGAGAGTTAACTGAAGACTGAAGTGAGTCTTAACCAGCAGTTGACAACAACAACCAGACGGCGCTGTTGTTAAAAACAGATAACAAACTTACAGGGCTGACACAGTTCAAATAAAGGCAATTTTGAAATGAAATCATGGGCTAAGGTTTGATTTTTATGATCAGATTTTTCGATTTAAAGAAAATTGAATTAAATATCTTTCATTCGATATGTAAATCGTGATTGTGGGACTTATAGTTACCTCACAATTCCAGAAAAAGTCCAACAATATTTTCTAAGCTTTAACATTGCGCGTCTATGGAAGATTGAAATTTAAGATTTTTAATGTTAATTTTCCCATTAGAAACGTTCATATTTAAGAAAAGATTTGTGGACTTTTTCTGGAAATCGATTTGCGCGGTGTTTATGAGTCGCACAATCACGATATACATATCGAATGAAAGATATTAAATTAGATTTTCTTGAAATCGAAAAATCTAATTTCAAAAATTAAAAGCTGACCAATGATTTGGTTTGAAAAACCTTTCATTTGAAGTGCGTCAACCCTGTATAGCTGGATATTATCAGTGATAACAATGTATTACAATAACAATAATTTATTGATTTTCATCAAATGTAACATTGAGTTGAATAATCAATTAGCAGGTCAACAGGAAATGGAAATGAAAAGGTAAGAGGAAAAGGGGATAAAATATGTTACTTTTTCCCCATTTTTCTTCTTCTTCTTTCAGATGATCTTCTTGATCATCATTAACATGATTGTTGAATTTACCTTTGATCAATTGATGATAATAGCAAATGATATGATAACTAATACCTTTACCTGTTTAGATAAAAGCTGAAAATATTGATTGGTAACTGTTGGTTTGATGATGATGAATCATCAATGATGATCATCAATATGCAGGGTAATATTATCTCATCAAGTTACCAGTTAAATGTAATACAAGTTTTGATTGTTTAGCTTGATTAACCTTCAATTAACTCTCTACCAATTTATCCTTCCATTCCTGGCATTAGCTCAGATAATCTGGTTAAGTGGTTAAACAATCATTTATATTGTAACCAAATTTACTCCTTTTAATTGAATATCAAATGTTAACAATTTACCTTTCCTAACCAGCCCAGTTTAACAAACACAATTAACCAACACTAATCAAGGTTAATCATCTTTAAAGTTAACAATTCATATTGTTTCGCTCATTGAGTTTCACACTTCAAGCTCAAAGAATACAAGAAATTTTGACTTTTTTTCTCTCCATTTTCACTTGAATTTATTTTCCAATTCTGGTTCATCTCTTGTTTCCGTTTTAATTATGTTTTACTAATCAAATGTCAATCAATTGTTGTCAAATTGGTTAATCAAATGATTACTTAGCCATTATCCGAAAAGCTGATCAAATGATTTCAATCTGGCTAACTGGAGACGAAAAACCAGAACAGAAACTCATGATGAATAAAAATGGCAACAAATGACATTTGTTTCTTGAAAAATTGTAGCTCAAAATGAAACGTTAATATACATTAATCAGTATAAATCAGAACAAAATCAACTCATTGTAAAACATGATTCCATCTGATTGTGAATTTTTCTTCCCCTTTTCCCTGATAAACACAAACTTTATTATAAGGTCACATTTTTTTAATTTGATTGATTTCTTTTCACTTTTTAGCCTTGTTTATTGGCTTTGGTTTGCCTGTAAATGTTATGTGATTGATGGTTATTACTTGGTGAAATAATCATGGAATCAAGGAAACAACACCAACAAGAAGCAAAGAAAAAAGTGGAACCATTTTTTGCCTCTTTTCCAGTGTCTTTCAAGTCTCTTCGTCTTCTGTCAATTTGGGTTATTTAATGGAGCCGTTTTCAGGAATTGTTAATTTACTTTATTTCATCTTCTCACTCATTTCAGCTTCACTCAGTTGCTAACTCACTGGGCTCTCAATAAGTGTTTTCAGGTTATTGACTTGGTTAGTGAAAGACATAATGATGAGAGAAGGATGATATTTGATAATGATGATAATGATGATTATAATGATTTTACATAGATGTTGACCAGAAATGATAATTATGTATCAAACCAGTAAGTTTAACTTTTCTCATGAAATGCTTATTTCCAATCATAATCATCATGATATCCTTGTCAGCATTGTTTGATGACCAAAGCAAAGACAAGACAATCGATTGAAAATGAAGATCATTTTTCCCCTGCATTTTGATAATCGTTTGATGAGATGAACTGAATTAAACTCATTTTCCTAAAGTTATGCGATTTCTTCTAATTTCTAATCGATTGTGACTTGCCTTTGTCAGGACAATAATAGCTGTTTATTTTACTCTCCCTGAGTTCACCAGATTGATTTAACAATTTATTCATTGATTAGATAAATCTGTTTACTTATGCTCTTTCTATTTATTCATCATCATCAGTTGATTCTCATTATTTGCCAATTTTGTCGCCAAACCAACCAAATGATGCCAATCACAAGTAACCAGCTTTATCAGTCTACATAAGCCATCGAAAGTGACTTAACAATAGTTTCATTAAACTCAATTATAACTTAATTATGGATAAATGATGATCCAAATAATTTCATATTTCATTTGCAATTTTAAAGAGCTTTCAAAACATTCAGATATCATGTTCAATTATCCAGTTTATCTCCTTTTATCATCAAATTCAATATTCTTCTCATTGATACTTTTAATTAACAATCTTGATTAGTCGTTCAATTGATTAACAAAAATTAATTACATTTTCAATTCATTCGATAATTAAAAGAAAATTTGCTTATTTTCGTTTCATATTTTCAATAATCTTAAGTGGAAAATTGTAGCTAATGAATCATTTTTCAATCACCGTTTTGTTATTTTTCTGCCAAAATTTCTCTGCACTCAAAGGGTCTATAAATTTTCTGTTGATCGCAAATGAAAGGTTTTGGCCTGAATGTCGCCGCAAAAATATATAAATTTTTAGAGCCCAACCCGAAAATCAGGAACAGCACATAAAATAAAGAAAAAATATTGACACTTAACATTGTTGTACATTTGTATACGCAATATGTAGATGTATGAAATTTGCATAAAAACTTTGAATTTTGAGTTGAGAGTTGGGACTTTGTAGGTTTGTAGGGACATGAAAACTGAGTCCATTAAAAATTGCTATTCTAGTTATCGTTAATAGGATATAGTATTTGGATAATTTTATACCAATGCTCATTTGTTGAATATTAATAAATTATAATTTAGCTCAGACGTTATTTATCTACATGGTTGCATTAACAATACATCGATTATAACAGGCAATCTGATTCAGGCAATATTTCGAATAATCAGATATCCTTGATAAAAAAGTCATTGTGAATTTAAGCTTCTCTATAATTATATCATTTACCTTCCATGTTTTACCATTGTGTTATATTTTTGTAGCACTCATTTCTGGTTGATTGTATTGGAATTCTGGTCAACTCGAAATGTCATATACTTATTTATCGTACTATTCACTTAACAACTCACGTTAATAACGTAAACTAAAATCTCGACAAAAAAACAAAGTTTTATGTGTAATAGTTCAACTACACAATGGAGGTACACAATGTAAACAATGAAAATGCGTTGAATGAGGTAAGTCTTTATTTACTTTGCTTTGTGCGTCTAATTTTATTAATTTTTACTAATTTTGCATTTATTTCATTTCTATTTTGTAACCTAATTTTGTAGCTGTGTTACAATTTCGAGGATTTCATTGGTCAACCGAATTCGAGCCCAAATGTTGACTTTACAGGCTCAAGTGATTTGATAGCTAATCCAATAGATGATCACACTTGGATAAATGAATTGGATCATAACACGGTTTCATGGCTTACCAATGATGATGTCAATCTTGAGAATTCTGGTTTATCTGATTATAATGACCCAACAACAGTAAATTACTCTTATTACCCATCGGATTTATTATCAACATCTCCTTCGTACCTGCCAAGTACAACCGTGTCAACATTGCCATTAACCCCAGCAGCAACTCTGCCACATGATATGTTATCAGTATCATCTTCATTATCATCTCCAGCACAATCCCCATCAATATCCCCCTCACTGTCACAAGATTCACCGTCGCCATCAATATTTTCCCTAGAGTCCGATTCAACAAGAATATCAGATGATTGGCTTGCTTTGAGGGACCAAGAAGCGCGACGAGACATTGAATTGCTAAATCTATTTGAATCGACTGTTTTTAATCGATTACTTGAGGACAATTTTATCCAATTAAACTTACAAGAAGAACGTTTAAGCATTGAAAGTGGACTGCGTCAATTTGAATACAAAAAGTACCATGAGCTTGCCAAAGTATCTGATATTTTACACGAGAACAGAGACGCTGCACTTGAGACAACTGAGCCTGTTGATAAATTTCAAATAACCATAATTCAAAAGCACACCGAGAAGTTGATTGCAGCTGTAAAAAAGATAACATCGTTTACAAATCTATGTCTGGACGATCAAATTTCCTTGCTCAAATCGCGTTTCCTGGATCTGTGTATAATCAAAAGCCTAATCTTCGTTGAGCCAGAAACGAGATCAATCAAGGTAATACAATTGCTTTTGTTTTTATTTAGACTTTGCTTTAAGTTTTAACGACTCTTTTTAAACAGATAAATGGACAAAAAATCAGCATGGAGAGGTGTTCCATGATGAATGATAACATGTTTATTGAATTGACCGCATCTATCCACCCGATATTACGTTCTGACCCACTAATAAATCTATTGATACTTATACTTTGCCTTCTTAACCCTAACTCTGCAAGCCTTCGGTCCTCTTATGCTGTCAGGTAATCTAATTTTGAATCACCTTCCGTCTGTGTTTAAACTGATTTCAATGCGTTTTCAATTCCAACTAATCAATCGATTTCTTCTTGTTTTTAATTTAGGAAGGAATATTTTATCACAGTTCATTTGGTGCAAAAGTATTTAGAAATTCGTGGTTTTTCAATCTTGGAAGCCAACTATGAAATCAAGAAGCTGATT